TGTAAATGATGTTTCCGCCCACTAAATTATACGCGACACGACCACGGCTACCTACCACTAATACCCACTGCTTCTCTGCACTTTCTCATCCAGTTAGTGCTCGCTGGGTGAGATGGATGTCGATGAGGACTCTTTCGCGGCGGTGGCTTCATATTTCACGCCTGAAATAACATTGAGAAGGACTCGGCGGTCTAAATGACCCCTCCCCCCGAAAAAGCGCAGACGAGCGGCTGTAAGGCGTACCAAACAGGGGGGGGGGAAGGGAGGGGGGGAAAGGAGGAGGGCGGAGACATTAACAGTACCAAACAACTACAAAAATCTAGTTCCCTGGGGGCGCACTTTCGACAGGAGAAATCGGTTCTGCGGTAACCCCCTAGAACAAGTGAGGAATTTTCCCCCTCAGGAGATCGTGAAATGAGCCCTTTTTATCGTACGTACCTCATCCAAGACACCAAAGTTTCTAGCAATTTTCTTGTTAAAATCAGAAAGAACTGGAATATTCATATCACCGAGTCCTCCTTCTTTACGTGGGGTTTGAATCCAGGCGAGATGGGAGAAATGTGAATCGCACGAACAAGCCACAACCTGAAACGGACAATGATAAACATGTGCAGCCAGCAACTCGAAAACGAATTTATGATGGGTTGTACCCACTTGAACCCGCCATAAATCAACTATTAACGAAAAAAAAAACGATCTAAGCTTTACCTCGCAACCGAGATCGCGGAACTCCTTAGCGCGATCTCCAAAAGCGATTATTTCAGTGGGACATACGAAGGTAAAGTCGAGTGGATAAAAGAAGAACACCAACCATTTCCCATTGTAATCGTTCGATGAAATAACCTAAAGTGGATTTTCAGAACATCCAAGCTTACCATTTACACTTTCCCCTCATGAACTGAATTTGGGAGGAAAGTATTCGAATGTAAATTGTATTCAATGAAGAGATAGAACAATCTTCCACAAAACTATTACTAACAAAGTATACTTCAAGTATTTGGTAGACCGAGCAAGAACATAGCGGTGCTAAAGGATAGACGATTCATTAAGGTCTGCATATGAGCAAGGGTCGGTTCTCTTTTATTACTAAGGCTTATTTCTCTTGAACTTTCAGCCGTTACGGACAGCGCTATTTCCTTAGGAAAAGAGATAGAGGTTTCATTAACTTCTGCTGACATCTATGCAATGATACGAACGATAGGTATGATACACAGCCAAAAGATAAACAACGCCCTTCAGAGTAGCCAAAACCCCTGTGACAGTCTTCATGAAATGAAATCAAGTCTTGCTCATATAGATCTTACTGGACCCAACAACCTTCTGAGTTTTAATAAATGTACAAAATTTATTGAGTACCTCGTTAACAGGGCTTCTGTGAAAGATTGCTGTTCCACGAATAGCTTCATTCGCTGCGGATGCTGGGCCATGTGGGAAGCTTCCCGTTCTCCGCCATGCGCCGAACACAGCCCCTTGACCCGCCTAGCATTCGCAGTGAACAAGACTGGAACATGGTGCCGCTGAATCACTGCAGTCAGGTCACTTACTACTAAGCCAAAGCAGTCCCCTTACCACTAGATAGCCTACAACCAACTTGAAGCGCATCGAAAGGTTAGGACCGTTCCAAAAGGCATCGAACTATTCATCGTGCATTAAATATAGAAAACTTGCGTATCGACAGTACATTTGTTTCTGGTAAGATCTTATCAAAATCATGCAATTCCTATGAAATGTAAAGATATTGACTGGATGGAATCAGCACTACGGAAGGACACGCCGTATAATAAGAAGAAGAATAAGAAAAAGCGTAATGCTCTAGTTTGAAAAACGACATTCCACAGTTGCCACAGAAAATATATATTTTCTCCGTCGCGGAGGTTTTTGGAGTGCTAGAGTTCAAAGCAATCAGTACAGGATTAATAACTCCAAACCTCACCCCTCCACTCCGACGCAACCTCTTTAATTTATAGTGTGCTTACCATGGACGCGTCTTATACCAGGGTCCATTATTAATATGATTCTTCTTTCTTACACCTCTTTCAGTCTCTTACCAGGGGGGGGAAACTCAATTAACGTTGTCGTTTCCCAGGACCCTAAAACTACTCTGAGACGAAAATTATTTCACTGTACAGAGTAAACCTTCGCTTACTCTTGGCCTTAACAAACCGATCCATCCAAGCTCTATGGCACCTATTTAGAAGAGTCACTGCTAGCGCTCTCATGGTTGCTATGCCTCCATGGTTGTCCTATTGTCTATTTTCCATGCATGTTTCCTTGGAGTTATTGTATTCTGTTGCATGTTTTATTTCTGACACGTTGATCTTGGAGCATCAAGCTCGATTTTCAGAACTTCTGGGAAGTATGACTAGCATGCTTCTCACATCACTCACAATACTGAGTTGCTACGTATCCATCTCCCTTTCAAAGTATATACGCCCATTTGACATGAGATGATAACGCAGGCCTACACCCGGAACGTTGCAAACGGCGTATCACCACCCCCCCCCCAAAAAAAAAAAGATCCTGTAGGCTTTTCTTTACAAAATCAAAGAACCACACACAGCATCAGACGCAAAACTTATACTCAAAGAGCATTGGTTGTCAACTCTTCCGGAGGAGGATGGAGGGGGAGAGTGGGACAACTCCACCCCCTCCCCCCAGCCAATAACTAGCAGGGCCGACTGAAAGAGATTCAAAATATCAGTCATTCCCAGATACGCCGCTCTCTCCCCATACGCCAAATACGCATCCGCTGGTGAATTCACACACGGTTAGCATTACTACATTGCATTATTGTTGTTACAACGATGCCTGCCAAGGGAAATAGCTCCGAAGCTTACAAGGTCACCACAGAAAATGTACACTTATTCAGCGCAGTTCGACTTTGTGTGTGTACCAAAATGGTACTCAGCGAAGCTACTTAAGGGCACCTTGTGAAGACCTGTGAATTTCGCGACCTATTATGAATTAACATAAACTAGCAGAAGGAAAAGTGCTAAATGCCCCTCCAAAGCCAGAACATCGTCAACTTTTTCTTTACTCATTCTAAGTTCTACACAAATGAAGAGATCCAAGCAGTTAGCGTTGTCCACGAGAACCTATACTGAAACAGCGTTGAGCTTGAAACCGCCTCTTCAGAAGTGGCCGAATAAAGACGGCAAGAATCTCCATACTCCCCCAAAGGCGACCAGTCCTGCATTCATTGCTTACCTTGAAATCGCCATCGACCACTGCTGTCCCTTTGAATTCTGGTAGTTTACACATGGGGCCAAGTGGACGAATGTTTTGCAATATAGGAGTTACTGAAAGGTGACGTGCAGATTGCAACAGTCCAGATGCCCGTGAAGCGGTTACGGATAGCGTTACGAAGCATCGCCTAAAAAATATTTGCAAGTAGATAGCATTGATGAAACCAAGCATTTCCACGCATATTCCTCCTGCTTGCCCGTCCTCGCACTACAAAAATCTCTTTGGGAGCAATTCTTTTCAACCAGGCATCTGATAAAATTAGCTTTTGCCAGGGGCGCAGTTCCAGTAAGAAGGGGTGTACTGGTTCAAAGCGCCAAATAAAGTTCAAACCATGAAATTCCTGGAAGAACCAATCGGTTCGCTCACTACGGCGTCCCCTTCCTCGAAAATATGCGAAAATTCTCATAATTCTTTCACACTATGGTTCCTTCACAATTTCTAGCAACATGCCACCTCCCTCCCCCTTACTGAAATAGCGTCTGGAAGATTCTGCCGCACACCCAAGGTAGACAAGCGAATGAAAAGGACGCTTCGTTCATACTTTGCGTCAGAGTTTTGAGTGACTAGGAAAGTATAGTTAATGATCCAACATACGCCATACGCCATCGTACCAAGGACTGCCCGCAGGAGGTTTAAAAATACCCATGAAACGCACGCTAGAACACACTCGAAACGCTAGATCGATATTCGTACTTTTCCAGCGGCACAAAACGCTGACGCAAAGTATGAACGCAGCTGAACTAACGCCACAGTACTCATTCTACCGCCTCCAAGTGAAAATCAATAAAACCAATCAATTTTAAAAGTACGTCGTTGTCTCTATAACAGTTCTTAGTTCTTCAACTCGATGAACTAGCCAATCCACTCTTTATTCGCAACATAACGAGGTGAAAACGAACTAAAGTCGTCGGAGGAGTGAAAACACGTGGCGGTGCACAAGATCATTCATCATACAGCAAACAAACTGATAATAATGATGATTAAAGGAAAAACAACGAAAAAGTTCCGAAAATCAAAGAAACACACTTTGTTACACACACAACTCTCAGAATTCTCAATATAACAATGTTTCTTCAGTTACTTCTTTCCTTTACTTGGGGGTGGCTTTACGAAGCACCATGTGACAGCAATCTTCTGACCAAGCAACTCTTCCCCATTAAGACCTTCGATTGCGGCTGCTGCTTCCTGAAATACGCCATGATATCACTCAATCGATAGTTTACTCCAACAGTCAACACCAATGAAAACACGCTAACCTTCTGCGTTTCGAATTCCACAAGCGCGTAACCCTTGAGGAAACCCGTTCTCCGATCCAAATTCAGATGCACGTTCTTGATTTCACCATATTCTCCGAACTTGTCCTGCACATCTTCTTCTGTGGCCTCTTCGTGGATATTCGTCACAAATACAATCCATCCCTGAATTGGAATAGTCGAAACGGTGTCGACTGTCAAATCTATATTTTTCGCGCTCCTTAGAATGTTGGGGTAACCCTTCAGCAAATACTTGGCATTTCACATTTCGCGTACTAGGCTTAAATTCGGAACAAAGGGTGCAGCATATCTGCCATGCACTGTCAGGGTGCAGCTCTGCTGGCCAGTGAAAAATCTATGATAAGCTTTTCCACGAGTGCACTTTGCTGATCTTCGCGGATTTCCAATTCACGGTGTCCAGATAAATGAGGAAAACAGCACTAATTTTTAGCGCAGATCCATCTGTTCAGCAGATCTCGCGTCACCATGACGGAGATCAACAGAAACCGAATGAGTCTTCTCTGTTAAAAACTGTTACCAGGAATCGCTTTCAACATTGTTAAGGGGTAAAAGTTTGAAAAGGCTAGCCCCATTCGTTTTTAACTTTTCAGGTTCTACTGAAGGAGATGAAGTTGAGCTGCGTGAGCTTCTATACCCGGGTAAAGCTTCTAACTTCGCCCATTTTCGTAAAAAAAAAGAATAAAAAGGAGCTCTCGCGTGCTTCAATGACCATAATACGTAGCAGAGAGCTCAAACACACTTTGATAAGAAAAAAAAAACAACAAGGATCATGTTTCTCCAGATATTTAAAAGAACTTTCTAGTAACCAGTTTTTCAGGAATTAGATTCAGGGAGAAAGAAATTCCAACACGGTCCAACTAAAAACCAGCTGAATGCAAGCCCAGCAATAGTTTTTCGTATGGCATGTATCCCTCATTTTGAGCATATTCACTGAAATGATAAAATGTTGGTCTGAGAAATCAAAGTGCATAGAGACCCACTGCTATTTGCAAGCTCTAGACAGGAAGAGATGACCCCAGGTTTCCTTGGCTCCTAAGGTACTTGCAGCGGGGAAGGTTGTTGTGCATTAGTTAGGCAATCCATCAATAATGAAAAGCTCATCAAACCCATCAATATTACGAGAGCTTCGTGACACCCAATCGCTGGAGAGCTATGCTGAGAGGGGCTAAGAGCGCTCAGATTCCACAAACTCGTGCTTGACTATGAACCCCACATTTTCTCCTTGGAACAGCTTATAATACTCGCAATGAATGACACTGCTCCTAATTTTTCAACAGAGTGAATTTTCGAAGTATCCTTCTATTCTATAAACCAGTAACTTTGTGTGTCGGTTTGTATGTTTGTATGTATGTATGTATGTATGTCTGTCCGTCCGCAAAATGCTTCACGGGTTCGAGTTCGCTGGAGGAGAAAACGACCGCTAGGCAAACCGGAAATCGATTGGTGCGGAAGTATCAATCCAATGTTTTGATCGTGATATCGGCCTCCGCTATATAAGACAACCATTCGGTACACTCCGAGCCATTGCACGAGCTGCTGGCGTGGCAGCTGGACGTGTGCTCGTGCGGGGGCAGGGTGGGGTGGCCGATGGGGGGGGGGGGAGGGGACGCCCACCTGCCGCCCCCCTCTGCTTCCTTCCCCTGCGCGTGCTCAGCCCGATCTGAGCATGCGCAAGGGAAGGAAGCAGAGGGGAGTCCCACTGGAACACTGGGGCGTTTGTTCCAAGGTATGATATAGGTTATGGCACAGGAATATGTGGGTGACAAGAACTGCTAGCCGCTGATAAAGGGAGTTAGAGTGGAAAGGACAACATACTCATAACGCGGTACACAGCATCAGTTAGGCGTTGATTTCAGCAAATGATATCGGTGGAGAATGCGACGGCGGGTGGCAAGAAATGATAACAGCTGATAGGGCCTGATAGAGAAACGATGCAGTTGTTGTTCAATCAAACGCTGAAGCCTCTACACCACGAAATTATGGAGTTTTAGTGATAGCGACATTGATGACGAGTGACAAGCAATTTTATCAATTGATAAGTAAAGATAAGGGGACATTTTCACGACATCTCTGACCACTACACTGCCAAAAAAGCCTCTCAGTAAGCGAAATTTTCCCACAGCCATCACTCCTCTGATAGCACTAGAAAATGTACTCATCCCACTAGGGGGGGGGGGGGGGGGGGGGTATATACTTCGCCTGAAACAGGAAGTTTGGAAAAATCAAAAACTCCAATATTGGAACACACTTTATGCGTTCAGTGAGTATTCAAATTTTTTTTTGCTTTTCAACTTTAAACACTGATGAGAACGTATAACGAAGTAGTTTGTAAGATATTCAATGAACGAACTAAATTGTCATCTGCAGCCATTCATGCAACCATAGCAGGTGGATTGCATGTTAATGACAAGTTAATCGCCCATCGTTGGTGTTGTGATGCAGGTAATAAAAACGGAATTTGTTCATCTACTGTGCAACACATATTGATATTCTGTACTTCCTATCTATTTCTGAGATCTACGTATAGAATGGGCGTTATGGCCGAAACCACACGCCTTCCGCAACTCTGAGGGGTGCAGATTTCGCTAGGTTACTCTGTCTATTATGATTCGACCACTACCGCGCAATATGAGCAGCTCATCAATTAACTAATTCCATCCCGTTATGATGTGCGCCTGGCGAAGCCAGGCCAGCTCGGCGAAGCCGAGCTAAAAAGAAGGAGGAGAGCTCGGCGTCAGCCGGGCGATCCGACTGGTAAAATTATAAGCTTGTCCGCGAATAACGGTCTGATGGAGCTCACAATTTCAAAATCATCTTTGAAAAACTGTAACATACTTCAATCGATCGCTGGGGGCCACTTGATGAACCATCATTATCGACCACATCATACACAATGCGTTCTGCTCGTTGCCGTGGTTGCCCAACACCACGACCCTAAAACCAGTTTAAGACTGAAATTCTACATAAAACTTCAAAACCTTTTCCAGTGTTTGGAATCGATTTCTCAAAGCTTGAAAATCTTTACAAGCAAAACTTCAACGGACCTTCGACGATTTTGCGTTCGCTACGCTGGTCTCTTCATTTTCCATCTCCACATCAAGTGCTTCCGACATTGTTCTGGAATTTTTTTATTTTATACAAATACAATTGAATTTCCAATGTATGCGTGGCGCGCCTCATCCCTTCACAACGAAGAAAAGGGCAGCAACCATAGAACCGACGACAAATAAATTAAGACGTTTCTAACATATACGATGACAAAATGACTTGTTATGGATATCAAGAAACGAGCACTACATACAACTCCACTTCAGGAACATTAGTAAAGTAAGCAAACCGTAGAGAATACAATGATGAGAAAATATTCAGGTGAAAACCTAGATAGGAGGGCCACACAGCGGCATGTCTGCATCCCTTCCACTCTGCAAGGCTCAGTACTACCAGACGACCAAAGTCCGTGCGACCTATTACTGCATAGCAGACATGGCGCGTCATCGTGTGGCTCCTACTAATTAAAATAATAGGAAAACGTAATTCAGAATTAATCGCCTTCAATGCCTTGATACAGTCGTTTTCGCCTGCAGACGCCGGGACTTGTCAGGCGACTCAAATTGGCGCAACGCCACCCCGTTTTCCGGCAACTGTTGTGGCTTGCCTGCTTCAACAATTGGTTGAAAACGGACTGTTGCCGTGCCAAACCCAGCCCCATGGCATGCCCCAGCATCTGCAGCTAAAAAGACTATAAGGTGCCATGTCTAAATCACTCCAACGTGCAGCGTTTGCAGTATCTGCCCGCTGCCCTGGTTTTTCATTATGCAGACACGATACGGTCGAGAGTGCAGCACATCTGAAGCACGGTATCACGCGCGACACCAGCCAGTCCTTCCGAGTAGGGTCCGCACATCATTTCGGCGCATTTGGCCTTATTAACCAATGTCCTATATTATCTATCTCAAAAAATCAACCAAAGTTTAACGAGTTGGTTTCTTTGACTTCAAAATCTGAGGATCACCAAATGAATGAATGTCGTTTTGGAACCGAAACTACTCATAAACTGTTGTGCTCTGTGGTTGCATTCATACTCTGCGACTCGGCATTTTGGAAGAATCAGCCTTTGAGCAATGAAGGTAGCATAAATGTTGATCGATGCCCAAAATGTTGATGCCCCAAAACGCCAAATCGCATAATACGAGCACAGCCCTCAGACAGCAGCCATTCTTAAGAAGTCTCGGGAATGACACTCATTCGCTCGCTAGCCTCAAATTTTGAAGTTAAAGAAAGCAACCTGTTAGATTTTCGGTGAATAATTTTGAGCACGATGGTATAGGACGTAGACTGACATGGCCGATTTGATCCAACGCCAGAATGATGTACCGAATCTACTAGCTACGAGGTGTTCGCACGCGACTCCGCGCCTGAAATGTCCTGTCCCACACCCAGTACGGCCGACATGTTCGGGACATATCGCATATTTCATAGAAGATTAAGGAGCATAAACGGCAAATATTGATGCTTCCATGAAAAGATGATGAAGCTCAGAAGATCAGAAATTCAGAAGATAATTAACAGAAATGTCCACCCAATGTATTCACAGAAATCCGAAATTGGAATTTTTCAATTTCATCTAAAAGTTAAATCCTCCGCCAACAAGACGTCTCATGCGCCGTGTATTTCGATCCTGATCACGCATTTTCTTCTCAATTTCGGCATCCGTGAGTGTCTCCAGGAATGGACCCCAAGCCTCGGATTCAGATGGGTTCCTGAAACAGATAAGAACTTTTTACCAATACTTCTCTCGATAAGAAATTCTTCAAATGGTCAGTGACGAACCTAAAAGTGCATTCGACTGTTGGTTGTGGGCTCTCCGAAAACGCATACGTCCTTTGATTCCATTGTAACTGTCCACGGATCGAGTAGGCAATGGCAGAAGTGAACTCGCCTCCAAGCCCAAGTTCAGCGCAGAGACTTCGCGCAAACTGTTCAGGGCTATTGTTCGGATCAGACATATCCCATCTAAATTTCATTTGTGGGTTATGCACAATGATGATTTGGAAACCAATGAACGTACTCGAACTGATCGACAAGACTCTGATTCCCAACATTGATATTCAGTTTCATGATCGCTCGCTGATCAGTCACGTTTGGATCTAGAGGTGGTGCTTCAGCAGCTGCTTCCAGCTGAAATGAGCGAATAATAGAAGGCTCTAATAAGGAATTCTTAAGAAATCGTGTCGTGTTTTCGCGTTTACGCTTTGCGACACTGGAGAAACGGGGAGCCGCTGATGTTGCGTTCATACTTTTCGTCGGCATCTCAAGCGTTTTGGACAAAAAGGAAGTAATAGATACTGACCGAGCCTTTCGAGAGAAACGCATTTTTTTTAAAGAACGACAGTATAGGTATCGATCTAGCAGAACGTTCAGAACGCACAAAACCGTGGCGGCCCTCAGTGAATCGATACTTTCCTTTCCGCCGAGCGCTCGAAAGCTTGGAACACCGACAAAAAGTATGAACGCATCCTAACGCGGAATGCAGAGAATCGGATAATTCGTGAAAAGAAAGTACACGTTTCGAACTGTACAACCGAAGAACCAGCGAAAAAAAAACTAGATATCTATTAACTGATCTAGCGCTCTAATCCTGCGGAGTCCAACGCACCTATCTAATGCTTTTTGTGAATTCTTCGAGTTTCTCAATAACAGGTACACTTCACCTTTAGAGGGTTCTATGAATCTTCCTTATCCTCGATTCTCTGATACTCCAGGATCCAAGAAATGGAGAAGGAGAAGTGTTATGGTTGTTATCATTCCCAAGCCGCCTTCGGAAAAAAGACCACCCATCCATACCTGCTGATATATTGCTGATGCAATCGCTGGTTGAAAGGTGCTCGTTGGCAAGTCGAGGTCTTCACACATCATTTCGGCAATCTTAAAGTCAGAAAATTGTTCTAGCTCGTTATAAGAACTGCGTAAAAAATCACGGCACCACAATAAAGAGAAACACAAACCAAATCAGGAGTAATCAGTTTCTCATTCTTGTTATAACAGAATGTGTCACGAAGTTTCACGCCATCCAATTCCATATCCAAACGAATCGGAACTAGTTCTTCTGGTTGTTCACCATTCTCTGCGACTCTATAAACTCATGATAAGCCGAAATTAGGATTAGTATTGAAAATTTACACTAGATAATTGCACTAGGTGACAATGAAAGCAGTTAGATCAGAACAAAATTACGGACTACCAGAATTACCGAATCAGAAGAAAAACCGATCGTAGTATTACAAATGATCCGGAACGTCAAGGCTACGTTTAGACCTGACTATGTCGATGTTTTCGGTGACCCCACTCAAAATGTAAGATATATCTCGATTCGACGTCGGTTATGTCGGATCGATACATATCTCACTCAAGCAGTATAATCAACTGAAACGTCGATTACGGCAACGCAGTTGTAAGGTACAAAGAGAGCCTAATTGAGCAGCCCATGGCTGAGACAGAAGGACGCAGCGAACAAAATTAAGTAGTTTTGTTTCAAGAGAAAGGCGAACTATAATACGTCAGAAAGAAACGTAAGTCGTACCTCTTCGCTTGTTCCAGATCCTCGGCGCTATAAGCCAGTTCACGTGGTTTCACCCTACCTCTAGCATGGGCCAACGGGCAAGAGCAGGGCACCGACTCCAAGTGATGAGAGCCACTGCTCACCTGGAAAACAGGAAAATAGTCGGCAGTTATGTAGTAGGAGCCACCACTTCAAGCCGAGCGGAGTTCACAAAAAGACGTTGATTAGGGTCTTTAAAATGTTCAGTTCCAATTGGGAACACATTTCACGCCCACTGTAGGGATTTATGCAAATTAAAAAAAATTCCCACCTCTAGGGTTAGAGCTCCAGGCAGTTTTGGCATATCAGCAGTAGGAAAGGAAAGGATTTCCAGTAAAAGTAGCTTGACGAACAATCACCGGGCAGTTCGGATCCTCGCATTGTCAGCGCGCGTGGCACTTCTCTCGAAATTTCACTTGTACCGACAAGTTGGCGCAAGTCGTGACAGGACTGCTTGGAATAACATGTTGGACTATGGAAACTTGGGATTAGCGCTCGGCACTGAATGACGAAGTCCCAAATTTTTATCCCCTCTGTGGGGTCAATGAGCTCATTTCATTCCCAGATGGGAATGACAGTGGGTCGATGTCGTTTCGTAAAGCTGTCAAAAAACTGCTCTTGATTACATGGTGGAAAAGCCACTCATTACCGAATTCTAACCTAAGCATCAGCCTCGCGTCTTTTGGGTGAGATGGGCATATTGCCACAAAACTCGATCCTCCGGTGGCTCCAAATCCTCCTGGCACTACAATCGTCATCCAGGCAGTCGATTTGGCGGTCAAAGGGTTGCAGACGCGGCTGCGGCGCGTCACGACCGCGGCGATCAGCTGTCCAGCCTGGTTTGGCCATTTTCTCCCTAATTTTCACTGTATTTTCTATTTTTTTCGAGGTAAGTTGTGTTATTGTACTTATGAAGTATATTAAAACGAGAATGCTTTTTCTGTTTTCGTAATAAAGTGTTTTTGCGATTTTTTTTCAGGCATTTCTATAACTTTATTTCTTTGTTTTATTTCCTGTTTGTTTAATTGTTCAATTGTTCGCAAAAATTAGAGAAATCTCAATCATAATTTACCTTGTGAAGACAAGGAACAACTAACCTCAAGAAAAAGCAGTGAAAATTAGGGAGAAAATGGCTAAATAGGCTGGAAACAGCTGATCGCCGCGGTCGTGACGCGCCGCAGCCGCGTCTGCGCCTTGACCGCCTAATCAACTGCCCAGATGAAGATTGTACTTTGGTGAAACGGGACTTCGGTGCCATAACTTTTGCAAATTACAATAATCTGAACTACGGTTTCGCACATAATGTCCTTTGTGTAATCTGAATCGTTGCGGATGAAGGGACATGTCAGGCGGAATGGGTTAGACGCCACACGTAACCCGCTTTCCATCAGTTGCTGAAGCGAACAAGCGACAAGACTGTATCATATTTTTCGTATCAGAGAGTTCCACCAGCCATTGTCGCTCATCCGTTTCGCTGCTGCTGCTTCGAGAACGAGCTGGCGCTGCTGCAGACTCATCCCGCCTGACAAACCCTTCATCCGCACCAAACAAGAATGTGAAACTCCGCAATACACAGTAAGTAGAATCCCTCGCTGCACGATAGCTCGGTCTCTCAAGAACTGTCCCACTTTCGCGGCAGCAGTGAGAGGCAAGAGCGCTGTGGCCGTAAATAGCCGAAGAACACCACGCTTGGAAATGGTCATTCCATACAGGCGCGGACAAACCAGCGTTCCCGCATTCATGAACGGGCTGCGTTTCGTGTAGGATCTATCTTGTCCCCTCTCTCGAACTGCAGCTTGCCTTCCTGCTTTCTCATCCCCTGCCTCTGACATCTCGTCGCACAGCATGTTTTACCTGACCCAATTCGTCAAATGCAGAATCATTATCTAGGGTGTGTTCATACTTCGCGATTCGATCGCTTGGATTGTTCATGCACTGTGGGGCCGTTGGGATTCATAGCCCAGTTTCAATTCTACTGTTGAGGTTGAGGTAGGGCAATGTTTGACAGTGGAGCGACCTGGGTCGTGGCCGCGCTGATCCAAAGTGCTCGAGCGATCCGATGATCCCAATCGGATAGTGAAGTATAATCACGCTCTTACAGCGTCTTTGACTGTTTCGTTCACTTCTCTCTGGCCACGAAGTGTTGTGAGCTTCATTGCTACGCTATTTCTTGCAACTCTTCTTTCATGGTTTTTCGCTGCGAAGAAACCCAAGCGTATTTTGATGCTGCACCACTTGAGATTACACCAGCATGGTCGGTCCTGGGGATCCCGAAACTTTCAATACTCATTTATTTCACGTTTATTTCGGTCTCTACTAACTCGATCCAGCTTCATTTAGCGGCTGAGTCTTTACGGAGACACCTTTACATGATTCCCACGGCGCGGTAACTGTGAGAATGCTAGCAATACCCCCTCTTATGACCTTAGCGCTTTGTCCAAGTCTGTTTACAGCCATAAGAGAATGTAGGTAGAATACATCTCCCCAGTAATATACATGATATGCAGGGATGCAGTTCGGCTTGATGGGGACATCAAATGGTACTCAGTGACGTGTGTGCATGTCAGACTGTAAAGACCTCTTGAATTCTGTTCATTTGTGCCATTTCGCAGCTTTACAAGAGTTTATAGGGCTCCTATGGGGGAGGAGTGTTAGCTAAGATGAAGAAGCAAAAGTACAAAAGGACCCTCTCAAGCAGAGCAGCGCCAACGCAGGTTCCATAACTCTATGAAGACAAATCGAAATCCAGGAGGCGCTACTCGTTGTAGAGGGTATTTTTGACGGGACGCTGATTTAAAGTG